TCATATCAACTCATATCATATATATAATTTAAGGCAGCTTTTTTTTTACAGTGTAGTTTTTTTTTTCATTTGGAAACATTTATAATTTTCCATCTGACTCATGTGCTACAATGTATTCTCTGCATGTACATTATATCCTATGTTTTGTTTTTAACCTGAAAGCATCAAAGTACCTTTGTAGTAAAGTTACTTTTGCAGTAGTGTCAATAGAAATCATTCTGCCATATAAGGACAAAGACTTTTGGGTCTGGCACACCAAATAATCAGTTATTGAAACACTTCAGCTGAACAGCCTCAACACACCCGCTGTAATCCACTAGGTGGCGTTTATGTGTCTAAAACAATATTAGAAAGCAGCACGCTTTGGAGGTCCTAATTAGGAAATGTGTTACTCTGGAGAGTATGTGAGCTCATTCTGTCCACTGAGAGCGCAGTTGAGCCGCTACAGCTCTTCCTTGTCTCTTCAATGGGCTATATCAGAGAATGTCTAATTGAAGAGAATAGGCACTGGCTGGTTACTTCCGGGTTCTGGACTGGCTGCAGTAACGCGTTATGCCATTATTGGCCAAATTGATTAATTCAGGTGTGCTTGTCCTCAGTAGTCAAGGCAACAATAATCAGACACACCTGAATTAATCAAGTTTGGCCAATAATGGCAGGCAGGAAACAAGGAGCTGGCTGAAGTTCAGGAAGTAGTGCAGCTGTGCATATAGCAGTTCCACTGTGAACATATACAGGTATTAACCATGAAGCCTATGCTTGTAATGCATTTTCGGATTTCTTATGATTGCCTAGGGTTTACAGCTATTATATTAGGCCTATAGGTAAGGTATTCTCTTGCTAATTACTCTTGAGACTTTTTTTATTTTTTTTAATCAATTCAACTTTTCTTGATAGCATGATAAATTAAAAAAGTTGCCCATGACACTTGCAGGTATGAACGTTGTATTCTGCATAAAGTGTTTACATCACACAAAATGATGATTAATGTATTTGTATTTCATGTATGTAATGTATTGTAGATGTAGATGTAATGTATTTCAGCTGTCATAAGACTGGAATACATCAGACCACTTTTGTTGATTTAGTGGAGGAGTCAAAGCAACTTTTCAGAGCTAGCTTATATATATATTGAGGAAATATAGTGTATAGTGAGGTAAGTATTTGAACACCCTGCTATTTTGCAAGTTCTCCCACTTAGAAATCATGGAGAGGTCTGAAATCATCATTGTGCATGTCCACTGTGAGAGACATATTCTAAAAAAAAAAATCCAGAAATTACAATAAATGATTTTTTACCTATTTATTCATGTGATACAGCTGCAAATAAGTGTTTGAAAACCTGTCTATCAGCTAGAATGGGCTTTATGCACAGCTTCACTACTTCCTGAACTTAAGCCAGATCCTTGTTTCCTGTCCGCTATTATTGGGCAAAATTGATTAATTCAGGTGTGTCTGATTATTGTTGCCATGGCTACTGAGGTCAAGCACACCTGAACTAATCAATGTGTCCAATAATGGCAGACAGAAAATAAGACCCTGACCCTAAAAGACCTGTTAGTCTGCCTTTAAAATGTCCACCTCCACTCCATTTATTATCCTAAATTAGATGCACCTGTTTGAGGTCGTTAGCTGCATAAAGACACCTGTCCACCCAATACAATCAGTAAGAATCCAACTACTAACATGGCCAAGACCAAAGAGCGGTCCAAAGAGACAAAATTGTACACCTCCACAAGGCTGGAAAGGGCTACGGGGAAATTCCCAAGCAGCTTGGTGAAAAAAGGTCCACTGTTGGAGCAATCATTGGAAAATGGAAGAAGCTAAACATGACTGTCAATCTCCCCCTCGGACTGGGGCTCCATGCAAGATCTCACCTCGTGGGGTCTCAGTGATCCTAAGAAAGGTGAGAAATCAGCCCAGGACTACACGGGAGGAGCTGGTCAATGACCTGAACAGAGCTGGGACCACCGTTTCCAAGGTTACTGCTGAGAGTACACTAAGACGTCATGGTTTGAAATCATCGGCACGGAAGGTTCCCCTGCTTAAACCAGCTCATGTCAAGGCCCGTCTTAAGTTTGCCAACAATCATTTGGATGATCCAGAGGAGTCATGGGAGAACGTCATATGGTCAGATGAGACCAAAATTGAACTTTTTGGTCATAATTCCACTAACCGTATTTGGAGGAAGAAGAATGATGAGTACCATCCCAAGAACATCATCCCTACTGTGAAGCATGGGGGTGGTCGCATCATGCTTTGGGCGTGTTTTTCTGCACGTGGGACAGGGCGATTGCACTGTATTAAGGAGAGGATGACTGGGGCCATGTATTGAGAGATTTTGGTGGAACAGTTAGAGCATTGAAGATGGGTCGAGGCTGGGTCTTCCAACATGACTATGACCCGAAACACACAACCAGGATAACCAAGGAGTGGCTCTGTAAGAAGCATATCAAGGTTCTGGCGTGGCCAAGCCAGTGGCCAGCCCTAAACCCAATAGAAAATCTTTGGAGGGAGCTCGAACTCCGTGTTTCTCAGCGACAGCCCAGAAACCTGACTGATCTAGAGAAGATCTGTGTGGAGGAGTGGGCCAAAATCCCTCCTGCAGTGTGTGCAAACCTGGTGAAAAACTACAGGAAACGTTTTCCCTCTGTAATTGCAAACAAAGGGTACTGTAACAAATATTAACATTGATTTTCTCAGGTGTTCAAATACTTATTTGCAGCTGTATCATACAAATAAATAGTTAAAAAATCATACATTGTGATTTCAGGATTTTTTTTACATTTTTTTTTTAGATTATGTCTCTCATATGCTCCTACGATGACAATTTCAGACCCCTCCAAGATTTCTAAGTGGAAGAAACTTGCAAAATAGCAGGGGGTTCAAATACTTATTTTCCTCACTGTTTATAGTGTATTCCAGCCTTTATTTGGATTTTAAGAAACCATGGCAGTCAGGTTTATACATGACACATAATCAGAATATGAGCAATTCTGCTTTTAATCAGAATTTTTATGCTCAGTAAACTCTATGCCAGTTACAGGTCTGAGGTGGACTGTTTCACAACTCCTCATCACAGAGCCATGAATGTGGAAATCTCTGTCAATGTCAACATTCTCAATAACAACGGTTTCTTATGGTAACTCAAGTGAGTGAAGTGGATGTCTTCTACAGAACCGTAGGGAAGTGGAAAAAACATTGTGACCTGAAACAGGGTTTTGCCTTGGACTTGTCTGTCAAGACTTAAAAATTGCATGTAACTCGCAAGAAGAATTGAAAATCTTCCAATGAACTTTACTAAGGACAGTGTACATGTTGTTGGTCAATGAGATGGAAAACACTGGTATGCTGACCTTCACATCGCTGACCGCACACGTTGTCATGTTCCCTATCTGTGTACGCTTGCACGGTCATCAGATGAGTCACTAGTCTGTGAATAGTGTTTTGATAAATTGAGTGTATTTATCTTGGTAACTGAGAGGCTTTTAAGAAATATCCCTGGAAAATCGAAGAGCAGAACTGCCCATTTAGGTTGCTATTAATTCAGAATAGATTTGATAGATTACTGAATCCAAACTAAATAGAACAAGATCTCTGGTGGGAGATGAACTTAATTGCTTGCATGTTTAGGAAAACTGGTCCATTCCCTTTTATGAGCTGTAATAGTGTTGTTGTTTCCCAGTCTACCACAGACTTCCTATTCCACCTTGTTACCTCACATTCTTCAATGAATGGATCATAGTTGGTGCTTTAATCCAGATGACCAGAAGTTTTTACTGCAAGTATCTCTTTAGATCGAAACTGACCCATTCTTGGATTAATCATGTACATTGACTAGCACCTTAAACTAATTCAATTCTTCTGTGGCAGGCCTTCAGCTGTGATCTGCTCTAGCAGGGTTTAGATAAGAGATGAGAGGGGGTTGTGTTAGCGTCTGATGCCAGGTTAAGCAGGGCTATTTCAGGCCTCCCACAAGGCAGGATCTTAGTAAAGGACAGCTGGATCTGTTTCCATTGTCAACTCTGACCATCAATGAGTCAGTTTATTTTTTTAACCAGACACACAAAAACACATTTTATCTACACCATCATACATATTATAAAAGAAAGTGGAGCCACTTTTTTCACATCACATTTATAAATGTCTGGATGTAACATAAAACATCAAACCAAGTGGAATCGGCAAGAAAAACAATTATTCTAGTCACTTTTCTCAAAGATTACTACTTTTCTGAGATGTTTTAAGTGGAACAATGCAATCTGTTATGAGTGTCAGTCATAAAAAAAATCTTTAGTTTTGAGTGGATAGTGTTGATCTTCCAGTTGAGATGTTTATGGATGAGTTCAGACTGCTTCAGACTTCCTTTCATGGAAATAACTTGATCTATTCTTTGCTCAACTTTCCAAAATGAAGTGTCTGTAATAGCGTGTTTTTGTATTATGTCATATTCATGAGTTACTAAAGGAATGTTGGATGGATCCAAATGAAGCATAGTTTTCTTCATACATCACAACCAGCAAACCCCAGAACTTTCAGAAATAAGTTGATAAATGAGACCAGAGCTCAGTTTTATTACAAATATGGTCTGAGATGGTCAAAAGAGCAAAGTTTATTTTTGAGGGTCAAATTGAGAATCAAAGGTATCCGAGGACAGTGACTCTTTCGTCATCCAAAACCCCCCTGAAACGCAGCATTTGAGAAGCTTTCCCCAGTTTTGTTTAAAAAGACAAGCCAAACGCAGGAAGTTTACTTTACAATATAAGCAAAATAAAAGAAGTCGTTGTTGAGCAAAAAAGAAAAAAAAAAGAAAAAAAAAAGAAAAAGATACACGTGATACACCAGAAGCTGTGAAAATGCCTTTATTCTGCTCACTGATGTCACAAGCAAGGAATTCAGTTGAATTGAGTTCCCTCTCTCTGGCTCCCTCCCCTTCACTTATCTTTTGCAGCATAACCTAACATGGAGAGGGCAGCTGATGCTTTGTCTGGGATTACTTGGTTTGTGATTTGGGAGGACAGGCCATGGGTGTGGTGGGCAACAGGGGGGCAGGGTGTAGGCTTTAAGGGGGAAGCTGGGGTCGTATATATGACAAATACCTAAAAGAGAAGAGTGGAGTTCCCCTGTAACTCTTTGGCTGTTTGGGTCTCTCCATCCATCCTTCCATTTCCTCAAGGCTTCCCTGAATATCCTAAAGCGGACATGACTTTCCACAGGCACTCAGGTAAAAATGCAGTGTGTGATGTTCAGACAGGGATGAAAAACCTTTGGTGGACTGGCCTGTGGATTCTCCTCATTGCTTTGCTTATTATGGGACCTTTTGTTGCTGGATATGCTTTATAGCTGAGCTCACGCAACTATTTCAAAGTTTAGGTTAAGTGATCATATTTTAAATATTGCTAATAATAAAAATAAATGTTTCTTAAGCAGCTAATCCGCATATTAGAATAAAGGATCATGCAACACTGAAGACTGGAGTAAAATCACAGGAATAAATAACATTTTAAATAGTAAAACAAAATTATTTTGCAATATTACAATTTTACTGTATTTTTTGATTTTTGATTAAGTGCAGCCTTGGTGTGGTTAAGCGACTTCTTCAAGAACATTAAAAAATCTCATGTGTTTTGATCTGGCAGCATTGGTTTTACATGGCTTTTGGAGAGTTTTCTGTATTTTTACAGTATTTCCAGTATAGATCAATAATAATCTTAAGACCTGTGCAAATCAGATGATTATAGCTAGCCCGTGTAACCCAATGTATCAAAGGCAAGTATTTCTTTATCTGTGTAGTTAGGATGGTGAGCTCAGTGTAACTGAACGTCATCTTACTCTAGTCTAGACACTTTCGTCAAGATAATGCTCAAGCTAATTCTCTGATTTAAGTTAACAGAGCGGCACTGACATTCTTAACTTATGACTTTTTTTAGACTAAATTTGTTAGTGTCAAATTTAGGTTCCTCAATCATTGCGTATGTGGACATACTCTCTTTGGTTTCTGTTGTCTGAATTTGATCTCGTGTTGACCTTTCAAAGCAGCATTTGCTCTTCGCTTTGGGACAAAGCGGTCCTTTTGATAATACCCGGACAGAGCTAAAAAGTAACAGCTGATGGATTGGACGGTCTCCCAAAAGGCTTAGGGATTGAGCATACGGCTCAGGTCAGAAGGATGTTTCAGTTCACAGAAGCCACGACGCTACTACTGTATACGTCTGAGGGGAGAATTCAGGAAAAGGACACTAACAGACTTAGACCCTAGATATAGGTATTTGGTTCTGGATTTTTCACAAATCTGGTCAATTTTGTTGGAAGTTTCACCTAGATTATTTTATCTCCCTGGTACACTAAAAAAACGAATAATTTATTTTAATGAACGTAACCATAGACACAGCTATTTGCTTAAAGGCTAACAATTTGATGTTGACAGAGATAAACTGGGAAGAATGAGTCAGTACTTCTAAAAATACTTGTTTTACATCACTTCTTGCACACTTCAATGCAGCTCTGGCTGGAAGTGTTAGTGGCCACATCTGTAGGGTGATTTGGCATCTGTGTTTTCAAGAGGACTTTCCTAAGTTGTTTGGCATGCGGTTGCTAAGCTGTGTTTACAACAGATGCCGAGGTGCAGACAAAACATTTATCCCAACACTATTTTACAGCCCAAGGGATAAAGCAAATATCAGTACAGGGCAGAGATAGGCTATAGACGTGCTGAATCTGATCTATGCAAAGTGCAACACTTTTTATGGCCTGTTATTGAAGAGTAGCTGTCCATGTGTCCTGTTTGTTCCAAGAGTATTTAGATGTATTGAAATGTACTCACCCTAAAGCCATTTCTCGGTGTAGTTGCTAAAGTTTTAAATATGGATATTTTTCTTACACAAATGCATCGCTTCCCTTCAGAAGGCCATTATTAAACGCCGGAGAACCCCGCGGAGCACTTTAATCATAAATAGCCATTCAGCCATTCACTCGCATTATCAAGCTTGGAAAAGCCAGGATATTTTTTAATATAATTCCGATTGTATCCCTCCGAAACAAGAATGTCATATACACCTAGGATGGCTTCAGGGTGAGTACATGATTCATAGGCTAATTTTCATTTTTGGGTTAACTATCCTTTTAGTGTACCCTCCCACACAGATTCTTGTTATTATACTGGCCCCTTGTGGTGACTTGATGTATTGCATTGATCGGGAGACATGCATGTTCACAGCAACACTATAAAACCCTTTCTGAATGTTGAAGTCAAGCTCAAGGTCAAGCTTTTATTAAGATCCGTTTATGGGCAATTTGGATGCAGCACAAATAGACACAAACTGACACATACAGTACAATAACAAAATACAAAAAGTACATAAATTATATAAAAACCTAAGAAAATCCTTTAAGACTATTTAACAATCGGATTGCACAGGGAACAAAAGAGTATTTGTATCGGTTATTTTTTATCTTTGGCCATCTATAACAGCGACCTGAAGGCAGTAGAAAACTCCAGGAATAGGAAGTGGTGGTCACTATAGAATCACAGATTGGACTGTTGAACAGAACCGTCAAGCTTCTTTTGTTCTTTAGCTATGCACTTCCCACTGTTTGTGACTCATTTATTTAGTTCATTTTTATGTATCAATGTCTTGTCCATATTAAATTATCTTAATTTTCTCCAACAATATAGGCGCTGCTGACCATTTTCACACAAAGCCTGTGTTCACATTAACGCAATCCTTATCAATAATTGTCCCCAGATAACTATCCACACTTTCCACCTTCTCACTCTTAATAAATGTGACTTGAGAAGAATGTAGGTCAATATTCGTGTATTTGTCTTAGAGGCATCATCACACCATTTAACAAAGTTATCCACCACTGGACCATGATACAAGCTCACAACAAACCACAGTGAAAATTTGGATGTTGAAAACACTTAACATGATAATGCAGTTTTTACTGATTTAAGTTACTGCACAAATTTTGTGAAATCCTGGCAATATTTTAAAGCGCACCTTCAATTTAAAAAAAAAAACATTTTACACTCTTCGTAGTTTATAATTTGTCTACTAACAATGTCCAACACTAGACAATTATCAAACTTGTCAAATTTTCTCAAATTCAGGCAGAGAGACTGTAAATACTTAGACAATTGGCTCGTCACAGGTAAACAGGCAGAGACAGGTCTACTGTATGTGGGATTGGAATGGAGAGGTGAAAACTTACATCTCCAATTGGGCTCATAGAAAAACAACAGTCCAGCAAAAAAGCCAACAATAAAAGCAAACAATGCCATAACACAATTATGGCATGTGTATTAAACATCTAACAAAGATTCAGATTCATTATAAATAAATTTGTCATTAAAAAGTATTTTCCCAGACATCATTTACTGATAAATGAAAGTCCTGTGTGTCTGGGTTTCTGGCAATTTCTTTACTGCATTTTGATGAAATATAGGCCTATGTAGGTCATAATAGCAACAAACTAGGAATTTATATTAATAAATTGGTGATTAAATGATCATTCAAATTGTTTAGAAGAAAAGTAAAAAAAAACAAAACATTTTGAGCTTTTTTAACCCTTAAATACATGTTTCGCCAATCATTATTAGGCTACATACACTGTAAAAAAATATTGTTGGTTTAACTTAAAAAATTAACCTGGTTGCCTTAAAAAAAAGTTGATTGAACTGGAAAACGTGAGTTAATACAATGAAGGAGATTGATTTAATCATCAGAAACTCAAAATAATAAGTTATCTGAACTAAATAAATTATTTAAGTTGATTTGACAAAAGAAAAAAATGTTGTGATAAGAAATCTTGAAAATATTTTTTTTTACAGTGTATTTGGGTCTTTAGAGACCTGGATCTATATCACAGATTGATATCTACCTGTTGCGATAATACTAAACCGATGTTTTATGCCATCATCACTGTCCTCGTCAGCTAATTTCCCAGTACATTCAGCATCTGGCTCATATTCACCATCTCAAACAGCTATTCTCAAAAACGATCATTTTAAACATCTTCAAAATCAATATTTTAATCACTGACAGATTCTTCACTAGATCCACCTTCCAGTGACACTGACACTAATATCTGATTGCGTTCAGTACTTCAGTATGCTGTAAATCTCTGAGCCATTTCAAGTTTTGCCGATGATATTTCCTATTCTTTTGTTTTCTGCCTGCGGTAACTATGAGTGAAACGTCACTTCATCATTGTGTATCAGACATTGACACCTTGTGGAATAAATGTGAATTGCACTTATTCAGTCATCAAAGATTCAATAATTGTTGTGCAGAAAAAATACTTTACACTGCTACGCACCTCGGGTCGTTCGAGACCCATACAATTTTTTTTACAAAAAAATGATTGGGAAAACAGGCAGTTTTATATAAAAAAAATCATGTTATATTTATATATATATATATATATATATATAATGAATTTGTTGAGATATACTACGGTTGATGTCTAACTTAAAAATAAACGAGGAGGAGAGTAGTGAATGACGTCCCGGCCACTAAAGACCCGAGGTGTGCGTTTAAGGGTTCATCTGTTTTTATTGTTTAAAATCCACATAGCACATTAAAACATCAATTGGGGAGTAATTTTTATAGTTTGTTTTGTCCCTGTAGGCCCTCGTAGCTATCTGAGCTCCACCATGACTGAGCGTTTCGACTGCTTCTACTGCAGAGACAACCTACAGGGAAAGAAGTACGCCAACAAAGATGACAAGCACGTGTGTTTGCGCTGCTTCGACAAGCTCTGCGCCAACACTTGCGCTGAGTGTCGCAAACCTATAGGCGCTGATGCAAAGGTAGGGGTAAAATAAAGTCATTTATTATTAAAGTGCATTTTACATTGTGCAGTGCTCACATAGTGCTCTCTTATCCAGGAGCTGAACCATAAGAACCGCCACTGGCACGAGGGCTGCTTCCGCTGTGCCAAGTGCTACAAGCCGCTGGCCAATGAGCCCTTTGCTGCCAAGGACGATGGCAAGATCATGTGTGGGAAGTGTGGAGACCGTGACGGATCGCCTCGCTGTCAGGGCTGCTACAAAGTGATTGCTTCAGGTGTGTGTGTCACCGCACATTGTCGACACAAAATATCGCGGCCACATGTTGTAAATGAAAGCCAGGTTTTTGTTGCACTTTTAGGATCTAAGAACGTGGAGTACAAGCATAAAGTCTGGCATGAAGAGTGTTTCACCTGCTTTGAGTGCAAGCAGCCCATCAGCAGCCAGAGCTTCCTGACCAAGGGTGATGATATGTACTGCACTTCCTGCCATGAGAAGAAGTTCGCCAAGCACTGTGTCCGGTGCAAAGAGGTCAGTTTGGATTGTACACTTAAAAAAAAAAAAAAAGAAAAAAAAAAATCTGATCAATGAGTTATGACAAAATGCTTTTAAATTGCTTTAACTTTTTAATGTTGTTCAATATTCAACTTGTTTTTTGTCAGCTGAATGTAATTTAAGTAAAAATGATTTGAACATCCAAATTGATTGTAGGCTACTTAAAAATTTAATGCAGCAATTTTAGTGTCAAAAAGCTTCATAGATGGTGCAGAAACATGGCCTGAACTCTATGTGTGTGGTTATTAAAGTGCTGTACAAAGTCCAGGCATAATATACAGCTAGACAGTCATTATTAAAAAATGTATCATTATATGTGTGCTTATCAAACAAATGAATGAACACACTTAAGTTTGAGTCAGTAAGATTATGCTCACGAGGCTGCATTTATTTAATCAAAACAAACAGTAAAACCATACTATTGTGAAATAGTATTACAATATTATACAGTTTTCTTTTTGTTTTATGTGATATATTTTCAAATTTATTCTTGTGATTGCAAAAATATATTTTCAGTAGCCATTTCTCCAGTCTTCAGTGTCACATGGTCTTTGAATAGAACAGCATTTATTTGAAATAGACACGTTTGCATTATAAATTACTTTTTTTGTTACTTTTGATCAATTTAATGCATCCTTTCTGAATAAAAGTATTAATTTATATATATTACTCTATATATATTTCTCTCTCTCTCTCTCTGACCAACGCATTCTCATCCTAGGGCATCATATAGTGGCGTATTTGACAATATGCATCCAAAGCACATGGCACCCTTTAGTGTCAATATAACACGCTTCGGTTATGGGTAGGTTTAGGTCTGGGGTAGGATTTGGGTTAGACCACTAGGAGGCGCCTTCTGGCCCATATATATATATATGCGTCTCATATTTACGCTAAAGGGTGCCATGTGCGTTGGATCTATATGCATTGTCAAAAGCGTCACTATATGACGCCTTGGGATGAGAACGGGCTGAAATGACACGCTTCATGTACACTTGCGGACTTTACAATGGCTGCCGGATGCACCAAGTCCACAAGACTGCAGGATGTCCCATTTGTCATTTATGTTTCAGTTTTGGTTTTGTGACCAAGCCAGCAAGCCCATGAGCTCCACAGCAAACTTCTAAGCGGGATTACTTCACAGAGGTGTGAACTTGGTGGAAGATTGTGAGGATTTAGGGTTCCATTTGGAACAGGGCCTAATTGCATAATATATAATCACTAAGCCAATTAAATTAGAAGACCAGAAATAACAGTCGTCCTAACAGGCATGTTCTGAATCCTCTGTCCCTCTAAACTCTTATTAATCAGGCCATTACCAGTGGTGGGATCACCTATCAGGACCAGCCATGGCACTCGGAGTGCTTTGTGTGTCACACGTGCAAGAAGCCACTGGCTGGAGCTCGTTTCACGGCCCATGAAGATCAGTTCTACTGTGTGGACTGCTATAAGACTGATGTGGCCAAAAAGTGCTCTGGATGCCAGAATCCTATTACAGGTATAAATGTGCAAATACACACGCACAACTGCAGTAAATGCGTACAATATATTAATACAGAAGAATAGAAAGCTCCATTATTTATCGCAATTTTAATGGAAAAAGGTCCATATTTTCACCTGTTGTCTTTCTGCATCCCAGGGTTTGGCAGAGGGACCAATGTGGTGAACTATGAGAACAAATCCTGGCATGAATATTGCTTCAACTGCAAAAAATGCTCACTCTCAATGGCCCACAAGCGTTTTGTCATCCACGGAGAGGACATATACTGCCCTGACTGTGCCAAAAAGCTGTGAGGGCTGATATGTGATGACGCGGAGTAACAAAAGCAATTAGTATTGATGAAATGGATAGCAAATCTTTGAGTACTAAACCAGTGGTGGTGTTTGTGCTGATAAATCACTGGAAGTTTGATATTATTTTATTATGCAAAATATGTTACTGCAATCAAATGTAATCGCTGGATTTGCAAACCTAACATTGCATTTTAATAAGTTTCAGTTATTGCAAAGCTATGGTAAAACAGTAGTAGATTGCTGTAAGATTTAATGTGTTGAAATAATTCAGAAAACTAATTTTGCTTTGTGGAAAAATGTTTTAACAACTGTAAGGATGAAAAAAACATTACATTTGAGATGTTTTGAGTATGAAACAATAAATGACTCCAAATCTTTTATTTTCCAAAACTTTATTTTAACAATTTATACTTTTCCAGTACACTTTAGATATATTTACAAATATAATTTGTGGTCAGGGCTATTTCAAGACAAGAAACTGCTCTAATAAAAGCAGATCCTATTCATGACCCTGGTCGAGTAGAATGATTGTCATGGCCGAGGTAAGCTCACGTGACGCGTTAAGATATTAATATATGAAAATAAAATACAGCCCATTCTGCATCTAAGGCACCATCCTATTCTACCCCTGCTTTGAGTACAATTGACATTTAAAGAACAGTTTCAGTTCGGATGTATACAGCACAAGGGGCTCGAAAGGTCCCGTGAGTGGAAACAACATCTGCATTGGAGTGAACTCGTCTGAAAGTGGCTGTGCTAGCATATTATAAGAGCAAATGGAACTAACATGGAAATTTGAAGTTTTAAGAGTACATGTTAAAGGCCGAACCAATGATATCAAACCCATTTCTGAATTTCACTGAGCAAGTCTCTTGCCAAGCGCGTCACATAACCTCTGCAAACACTTTTCCACTGAAGTCTAAGAGCCTGAGTCAAAAAGCAGTCTTATACAACAAAAGATTAAAAACAACAACGTAGATGCATATAAAACAACAGAAGAAACATTAAACACACATTGAGCGACTACAGTATTCCTAAACACAGATGGAATGATACAAATAAGGAAATGTACTTATGGATTGACCAGCTGAATGGTAAAAATAGACTGAATAATATTTTAAAGGAAACTCCTCAACAATTTACACAACAACATTACACAGCCAACTGAACTCTTCAAGCATATAGAGACCAATCATTCATTACAACCGTCTGGACATTGAAAAATCAACAGTCAAATGCCAAATCCTTGTTATAAAACACAGGAAAAGTCTAGTGCATTCTTCACTTAAACTTCCCTGAATCCTCCAGCGGCAAATGTAAATCACAAAAGGCGACAACAACTCTGCTCAACTAAAAAGCCTTTTACTTTGCTTGTGCTCTCAGTCCACATTACTTTTCCCTACCCGCGTCACTTAACACACACACTTTGTAAACTTGCTGTGTAGTTAGTTACACCAGGCCTGAGTGTGGAACAGCATTTCATATTTTAGTTTAGAGCTGAACCACACTATACAGTACACCAACCTGCTGCCTAGTTCTTATTCACAACCACAAGTATGGCTAGACAGCCTAATACTGATTTACATAATACTTAGAAGAGTTTTAAATAGTATATTTTTAAATATATTTATGCATTTTCAAAGAGAACCAAATTTAGTGTGGTTATTTAATCCATTAATCCACGGTGAGAAGTACACGAACAATAACTGTATTTAAAAAGAAAATATCAGGACTTGATAGCACAGTACAACCCTGAGGGGACTTTGGGAATTTAAGAAACATTAAATCATTCAAGTTTAGTTACTGAAACATGTTTCTTCAAACTCCAGGGGACAGACACCAGAAACATGCAAGTTAGAGTTACAGTAATTCTGTTATATTATGCAATATCACAGCGCATGGATTCAAGCCGACATCCAGAGTTATTGAGGGTGCACTTAAATTAGATATTTGATAACTAGTCATACTTATGTACATATACAGGTTACTACAAAACAGGAACGTACAACATAAAAACCTCATTAAACAAAAGCCACAAGTGTTATGCCAGTCCACATTGAGCTCCATCATCCTTCAATCTCTGAGCTCAAGGCAGTACGAATATGTTTGCACTCAATTTGAATTATAAACAGTCTGGTAAACGTTTTTAACGAAACATCTTGAGAAGGATTTGATATCAACGAGTGTTACACAGTAGGAATGCTTCTCAGCGGGAGCTCGAGTTCTTGCACAGGGAATATAGTGTTAAACCCTACACAGTGGTGATGTTTATTCCTTTGGAGCAGAGAAACAACAAATATCCTGAGGTCACATTAAAAGCACTCGAGAGTTGCTGGACCATCACATTCCTGAGCTCCGCTCACAGTTCAGACACAGGGTTTTAATTAGTACGGATTGGAAGCTAGACTGGATTGGAACTACCATGTCAGATGAAGATATGTGAGAGATTTCCTTTCTCAAAACGCTCTGCACTAACTCCATGACTAATCCGATCCTTCTACAAAACGCTTAACTTGAAATTATAATGAATATGTACGTGCCACATGAACATCTGAACTGGAATTTAGCAAAAAAGTGCACGTGGTAACCGTCATGAGACAGCAGCCGTTTAAATGTGGAGAAGCCACATGAATAAATAAAGTCGTCTCCACGTTTAAAAGACCAAAAAGAAAAAGAAACCCAAAAACATTTGTTACGAAAAATAAATCCTGATGACAATATTATAAAGAGCTGCTAAACAAATAAGCAAGCACACTGACGGAATTTATCACTTTCCCTGAAGCATTTCTTCAGCTCATTTCTTCCAACTTGTGTTTATTTTCTCTTGCTTTATCCATCTATTATCTGCGGAGGCTGCGCGGCACTGTGTGCTTTCTGTGCGACGAGTCTGAGCGCTGACACTCTGAGGCTCGTGGAGTGCAATAACAGACAGACCTTAAACAGACCTGCGCATTCACATCTCTGTGAGAACAAGAGAAACAAGGTCAGTTCTGTGAGGTCAAGTTGATATCATCTCATACAATCTTAATCAGATATAATAGAGACAAAAGCTCTTACCGGACAGGGTTTCAATAGACTGGGCTGGATGAACTGAGCTGGTTTTCTCTTCAAAGGCCACTCTAGGTCCCTCAGGGCCCCCGTCGTCCATCAGGGGTTTGCTCTTTGCATGAACACCCAGATCGATCAGCTCCTCAAAGCTCCAGGGTCCTCCTTTACCATTCAACCCAGGGACCAGGCTCACTTTAGAGTCCTCGTTCACAAACTCAGAGCCCTCCATCAGACAGGACTTGGGAGGGGGGCTGCTGGAGATTAAAGCACAAATATAAAAGTCAACGTTGTTTTATGGACCACTAACCCAGATAAAACTAGAGTAAAGTGGTTGTTTTTATACCAGTACACTGAGGGATCTTCTGTGCTTGGTCCATTGCTGTTCTCCTTATTATCCGCATCTGTTTGTCTGTTCATACCAACATCTGGCTCCTCCTGTTCGGCAACTGGCTCGTCCGACGGCTCTGTCTCATTGGCACTCTGCTCTGATTCAACAGCCTGATTTTCTGAAATTTAATGAGGCAGATGAGCTATTCCATCCTACATTAGAGCAGGCCTAGTGAGACTATCAAAAAGCAAATGCTATGAATACATTAAACAGTGAAGTGTATTTACAAGCATTCAGCTCATCTTTTTGTTTGCAATAAATGCTGCTTAATGGACTCTTCGTGGCTGGGTCTATTATAATGTGCATTTGGGAACGCATAATTCACCTCCCCTTTCACCAAATTTGTAATGAGAAGTGTTCATAAATGTAGATGTTGTGATCATGAATGTAGATGTTAAATGTAAATGAAATGTGTTTTTTTTTAACAATATAGATTGCAGAACAACCAAATGAAGCAATATCAGTTGTCATATATAATGCAGCTCTATCCTCCAAATTGTGAATAACCTGGCCATAATTTTGCATTTTTATTTTTATTTATTTATTTTTTTTTTTAACACTTGGCTGTCTTATTGAATTTGCTTATTTAGTAAATATTGTGTAAAATATCTGTTCAATTTATTTCCATCAATTCGCCTGTCACTTCTCACTTGTTTATTTGTGAAACATCATTCATCCACTACAAATAAACTCAAACAAATAAACTGCTGTTACCAAAAAAGCAATATTCTGCGAGTTCTGGCATAAAGGTACTGACCATTATCTTCACAGTTTATTTGGTCCTCAGCCTCCTCTCCATTTTCATTAGGAATGTCTCTCTCATCATCATTACTCTGAGAGAAACACACACAACATAAGAAACGTTTTGGGAATGGAAATGATGGACAACAGACAGAGACATCATGCCTCAACACAATATAACAAAGAGCCGTGTGCTATACAATAAAAGCAGTTAAACTTGCCTTAAAATCCATTTGGTCTGTTTTTCTGGTTCTCTTCATAATTTCTTCAATTCTCTGCAGATTGAGACAAAATATTCAAGCAACTTGTATGATTCTTTAATCTACAGCTGCTACCATAAATGCAAACTGTGTAAATGTCAGAGTCATGTGATAGTGTCCACCTTCTTTCTCTCCATGCGCTCCTGTTGGTTCTTTTGCATAACGAGTGCTCTCTCTATACGCTGCTTTTCTGCCTCCTCTAAGGCCTTTGCTTCAGCCTCCTCACGCTGTCATTGGATGAGCAAGAAGTCAATTATTCAAACTGAAAAATCAACATCTCTATCATGGATTCTGTGCAATGGGAGAGTCAACTAACCTCTTTCTGTTCCTCAGCCTGTCTTTGCTGCTCCTCTAGCTCTGTCTGCTGTCTCTCCTCCTCTGCTTTACGAGCCTGCTCCTCCTCTTCTCGTTTCCTCTCCTCCGCAAGCCTCTTCTCCTCCTCTGCGCGCCTCAAGCGCTCCTCCTGTGCCAGACGCTTCTCCTCCTCTTTCCTCAGCCTGTTGAGACACGATACCTCAGGGCCTTTGGCACTTCAAAGGTAAATAGTTTTAACAGATGCAGAGTTCGCTTCAGCTTAATGACTGCATAACAAACCTGCTCTTACAAACAAGAAAAACAAGAATATGACTACAAACATATTTCAGTGTGTGCTTGTTCTGTTTATTTTCGGATTAAATGGGGGTTTAAAGATAATAATATATTATTAGGCCAGTATATTTGGAAGCCTTCAAAGCAGGCTCCTGATACTAAAACACACCACTGAAGCTAATCAGATAAACACACCGCTCCTCTTCTTCTTTCTGTATGCGGAGTAGCTCTTCTTTCTCCTTCTGTTCACGGGCCAGACGACGGTTCTCCGCCAGGATCTTGGAAGCCTCAGCAGCTGAGTTGGTTCCTGCGTTGGCTTTGGAATTGGATTCTGAAAACACACACATATATTATGCATTTTAACATTCAAAATGCAACATTACCTCAGCTGTTACAGTGATACACAATAAAATGAACTGAGAGGTAAAGTGCCTCTTAAAGACATGATTATTGATTAGGCATGTAAGCAGTTAATCGATTATCGATTAATTGTCGACAAGAAGACGAGACCCGAAACAAACTTGAACCTAACTTTGTATCCCTATTTGTGATATGTTTCCAGCAGAGGGCACTGTGTCTTAAGGATAAACCAGCTCAGCACTGTATACAAACTCAGTAATCACAGCAGTAGTTGACCTTGATAGTATGTAAGACTATTCATCACACAAACTGTGCTGGTTTGCTGCTGTAATAACTCAAAGGCTTTGTTTTAGCCAGACATTTGGCTAGACAGGAACTGGTTAAACTGAAGCTTTTTCAAAGCTATTGAACAGTAGATCATGAAATAAATCTCTTTTAAAATCATTACTACAATACATGTATTGAAATATGTATTGAAAGGAACATTAATTACACAGCTTGAAAAGTGGGTACTATATGGAGTACACTCCATATTCAACAATTTCTTTTACCAATTAATAATTAACTCTAAATGCTTCATTCAAACATTATTTAGCAGATATTTTAGCCTTACATGATGTTACATATTACACAATGTTGATAAACTTTATACATTTTAAATTGATCAAACTTTGATAATCTAAATACCACAAATGATACATTTTTAATTTTTTTTTCTATTGAGTTCTGAAAGAAAAAATCCCATTCGTTTTATCTATAGACGAATCCGACGAGCGTTCTGTGTAGGCTGCCATCTTGTGGCGACGCCATTACTGAGCTGTTACACCAGCATAGACATATGCACCGGTATGTAAACAAACCTCGGTGATAACGCGAAAGCACCCTCGATGACCGCTACAGCCAGGCAGAATGACTTGTTGGGTTGATGATGTTAGACCTTGGCCTCCAGTCACAGATGAAGGTACAAACGATCTTACAGATTATTTATGAAAATAGCTTGGCAAGCTAGCTAGGCTAACGTTTGCTAACGAGGAAACTATAAAAAGATCTGTCCATTTGGCAACAATAAATAAATAAATGTAATCAAATAAACAAATTCATGTTTTTCATTTGTGTCCATTATTTATCTCATTTTCACATTGCAACGGGCAAGGGTAAGGTAACGTTACAGCTAGAAAGTATACATAATATCGACCAATAAGTGTTTTTAAACCATGGAAAGAGGTCAATATAACAGCAGGAGAACAATTATGTCACATAACGTTATATTTAGCTCAGGAAAGCCATTTAATGACCATAGCATGTTAATTGAATAGAAAAAAATAGCAAGAGAGGAGATTTTGCTGATCACTATATCACATATTTATTATATTTTTTTTACTCATGTCATTAAATAATTGTTATTATACGCGAATGTCCACGTCTTGTACTCGCCCAGGAAATCTGTAAACCGTACGGCACCAGACAGGGGCAGTCGACCCGGGGTATTCACAATGTTTTCTCTTCAAAATTGAAATTTTACTGCCACCATAGAAACAATTTATAACGGAAACTGTTTTACCCACTCGACATTATACAAGGGCTAACGTTGTAACGTTAGTGACAGTCGTAAATCGCGGGCTGTTTATTCCAGTGGACGCAAGTTGCAACTAAAACAATGGGAGGCAATGGCGCAACGCTACGCAGCAACAGCTCAGTAATGGCGCCCCGCTTACTTACGGTAGTTTCGCCGGATTCGTCTATATCCATGGGGGAACTGATTTTTAACAATAACTTAAGCATTTAAAGACAGACGTACTGTGAGCTACATGGTGGTTAATCAATGGTATATGCTTTAATTAAATTGATCAGTCCTCATTATTTAAAAAAAAAGAAGGTTAACAGCAAAATTCATGAAAGAAAACGGCATTAACCATGATTTTGCAAAGACATATCCACCAATCAGATTATTGAAACAAGAAGGTTGGCTAAAAGAACTCAGTAGCGCCCGCCCACAACCAAGCTTTTAGATTTAATTTAACATTTTAATGAAATTTCCAGACATGAAAATCAAAATTTTCACACAATTATCTCGGTTTGTCTATACTTGGGTTTTTGAGTACACTCACCCTCTTTGGTCTTGGGTGTTGGTGTGGGTGTTGTGCTGGTTTCCGGAGACTGTGGGGCGACAGGCATAATGGGAGACATATCTTTTGGCTTAGAATCCCTCCTGCGAAGCGTGGGCGGGCCGGTGGGGGTTAGAGAAGGTTTCTGGATGGGTGGAGGTTTGGATGCAGCAGAGGGCTGAGGGGATGGAGGACGCTGTTTCAAGCCACTGGGGGAAGGAGGGCGGAAGCGTGGACTCTGCCTGAATGAGACAAATTAAAAGAGAAATTAAAAATATGGGCATGTAATATAGACAATGGGAGATTCAATTTGAGCAGCAGACTGAAAAGGTCTGAAATCCAACCATCAGTTTAGAGTGAAACCAATGCAGGCTAAAACTGATCTCAGGGGTCTTACTTGGCTGCTCCAGGTGAGGGCGCTCTTGAGGTGGAGTTAGCAGCGGGAGCAGGAGATGGGGATCGGTGATGGCTGGAAGGCGAGGCAGGGCGTTTTCCTACTGGTGACGTGAAACGCTTCTCCTTCTCACCTTTCTGCATTTACAAATGCAAAAAACAGGAAAAAATGAGCAAAACCCTGAAATAACTTTAAAATGGAAATTTTGTATTAAATGGAGACTATTGGATTAAACAGAAGATCCCCACATCTGAAAGACACTTTTCTCACTATATAGTGATCATCAGTCACTGTTCAGCCTAAATCAAAGCATGGTCTATATATCACTCAATTGCAGCTAGGATTTTACTGCTAGCATCAATCTGAACAAGACTGGAGTAAACATGTCCATTCGATCTATTTTTAATCTTCTGTCCACATGCTCAGGGTGTCAATGTGACAATTGCACTAAATGTGGGACAGGTGAAGATGTCTTTTACTGGAAAACCTTCCACATGAACAATGTGAAACGGCTTAGAGTGAGTTCACCATGTTTCAAGGTCTGACTCTCCAAATGATTATCAAGCAGATCAGATTTAGTGAGCTATAAGCCCAAGCCATTTGAGAAGCTATGGCACAGTATGACCATGAGAGCGAAACATGTCAGTTTCAGTTTACATTTCTCCAGTGAATATGCCAATGCTAGCCCTCCTTTCTCTCTGGGACACACACATTCACGGTCGCTCAGTGTTCATTATATTCAGGGCAGCACTACAAATTAACTGTGTCTGAATGAATCACTGATGTGAGCATTTCTAAACCTCTGTATGAGGGATCAGACTGTCACATGTAGTTCATATCTGATTGTAAGGTCTCGGGAGACCATGGATCACAACTGAGGGTCATCGGTTCAACTTCGGTTATAATGAACCCGCAGTTTGAAGACAACCCTGATGAGGCTGAGTAAGTTACTTAAATGTTTGACAAATTTATAACATGCCTAAATAACTAATTGGTTAAATGGCAAAAACATTAGGTTACTCTTTTGAGGCACGTTTCAGACAAACACGAACAACGAATTGATTCCTTTTTCACGTTTCCTTGCCCTTTAACAGACACATGCACACAACATTGTCAAAATACCCATCTAAATAGCCGTCTCTACAAGTATTCTCTCATTTATGTCATATGTGAACAGGTAAGAAAGACAGATGTTTGTCAGGTTTTTTTTCGGTCAGTGCAGTCGGTCTTAAAAGAGAACTCCGGTGCAAAATGAACCTTTGGTCTAATAAAACATCGGTACCTAGTCAATCGTTATCTGAGATTTGTTTTCATGATAATCGAATGTAAAGAGTTTTATCTCTAAAAACAGTTTAGCGTATAACGCTAGCACTGGGGGCATTTAATAAGTAAAAAGAAATCGCTAGTTAATACCACTAACAAGGCTCAAAATAGCCCCATATTAACACAGTAACATAATGAGGGTCCATACATGGAAAACGAAGCATTGAGAACTTTGTAAGTGTACAGACCGTTTAATTGCGGCGCCATCTTTGGAAAACATTCTCGACTAGTCGAACCACGAACGCCGCTCGTACAGTTCGCATGTCGTTCGTGGTTCGACTAGTCGAGACTGTTTTCCAAAGATGGCGACGCCTGTATACACGAAGTGGACTGTCTTTATAAAATATCTTCTCAGTAAATCCTTTTATTCAGTGAGGATGCATTAAATTGATCAAAAGTGTCAGCAAGACAAAAAAAATGGAAAATTACATTTTAATAAATACTCATATAGAAAACAGTTCTTTTCTTTTAAATTATAATAACATTTCACAGTATCACTTTTTTTACTGTCATTTTTTTTATTAAATAAATGAAGCCTTGGTGAGCATAAGAGACTTCTTTCAAAAACTTTTGAAAAAATAAAAATTTAATCATTTCAAAGTGGAAGTTTGAATCATGTGCTGACCTGTGTCATACTGGAGATGGCATCCGCAGACACAGAAGTAGGCGGGCCTTTCTTTCGGTCGCTGCTGCGACTGCGTAGGGCTCCGCGGGCCGGGGGCTGCATGGGGCTGGCAGATGCTGAACGAGGACACAGGTGAGACTCTGGTAAAGGACACAGTCAGTGGTGCACAGCCGGGAACAGCAGGGAGGGGACGTCACAAGCAGCCGAGTGGGTGAGCGAAGCAAAGGTAGAGGTAGGGACAGAAAGAGGGAGATATAAAGAGAAAGAGAGAAGGGGAGAGGGATGATAAAAGCACAAAACATTGGTGTATATTAGATCACTCATACTGGTTGAACTGACAAGCACCGACGGCCTCAGGAAGACTGGTGGATTGGTGGGGGCGAGAGAGAGAGAGAGAGAGAGAAACACGGCAGCGGACAGAGGGCATCTCGGACAGACTGGTCACCAATACGCTAAAGCACAACTCCGCCTACACCAAGCAAGCACTTCAGGCTGCAGTTTTAGTCAGCAATATAGTAAATTGAACAACATTCACTCACTCATTATCCCCTTATAGCCACATCACACATAATTCCAAATCTAATTTAAAACGCCTTTTTACCATCTACAACATTCACATCTAACTGTTGAAATTCACCCCCTCAGTGACGGTCCTAGGAGCACATCACAGTCGGTTAAAATCCCATTCATTTCTCCATAGAGAAATTGTCAATAACATATCTCTCAACACAGACTTATGATGAGATTTGAGGTTGCCAAGCAATAGGATGTTTCTGCAGAAAAGAAGTGTTTTTGAATATTAAAAAAAGTTTAATAGCTAAATTCCCATTGAAAAGCACTACTCATGAATCCTTAACAGACAACCAGAGAAGTGACTGTTACTATGGAAATATATATTGTACCAAATATACTAGAGCATAGTAGTTATAAATAACTGATAAGTAAATGGTTTGATATTAGTCCATCCTTTTGGCACATGATTGCTTTTTTTTTTTTCAGTTTTCCTTCAATTTCAAGTTTTTAATGTTGTGCTTCATCTTTAAGCTGGTTGATTTATTTAATGGCTTAGAATTATTATTTTTTTATCCCCAGAAAGAAAAAAAATGGGAAAAATAATTTTGAAATCAAAGGCATGAAAATGCGGTTGGCCCTTGTTGTGCTCTATAGAGATGGTCACTGATCAAGGGATGCGCAGTATCTGTTGGTGAAGTCGAGGTGAAGTGAGGTGAGCAGTAAGGACTGATCTGGTTCTGCTGTGACAGTGAGATTTCTGGGATAATCTCCACCCATTATAATTAACTCTGACTGTTAGCATTATGGAAAGCCTATAAAGTTAATTGATCCATAAGCTGGTGATTCATAATCATCTCTTCGTCTATATTAAGAAACCAATAATGCAGTTCAAATACTATCAGACTCAGCAATGCTGATAGCATTTTGTCAACATCAAACCCAGTCAAAAAAGTTACACATGAACTTGAGCCTTTACAGATAGCTGGGAATTTAAAGTGAGTTTGGTAGCGTTGGAAACTAAAGATGATGTTAAGGGGGACACTGCTGGTCTCTAGGGACCGTGTGTGGATCAGCTGTGGATTGAAGTAGCAACAGCAGGGCGCAGACTCACTCCACTCATTCCCTCTCACACACAGGACCGCTCGGCTAATCAGCTTACAAAAGATCCCTCAGCAAAAGCCCCGGAACACCTTGCAAATGTCGACGTGTGCGTGTGTCTTTTAGAGATTGAGACAAGGGTAAAGACTAGTGATGCACCGAAATGAAAACGTGAGTGACTTCAGACATCGAATGCTTGACCTAATATATAATAGAGTATTTTCTACATCTGCATACATTATAGCATTACATTAACGCTGGCATTGTTGTACAGTCACGCTTATCTGTCTGGATTTCTCTATGTGAATCACACAAAGAAGGTGCACGCTCTTATTTCCGATAATATCATCAGATGGTATCTACATTCAATTCTCATGCACACTGCTTTGGTTAACATAACAGTTTCTATTACATGTTCCAGTATATTTATCCTTTCGACAGACATAAACAATTAAATGCCATTTTGGAAAAGTGCAATGATAAAACATTTCTGTGCATCTCTAGAAAAGACTGCAAAGCCAGTAAATTTAACATTCCCAAATTTGTTTATGCGGTTGTAAAACTTGATGCATGTGATTCAAGCCACATTAGAAAACTGCAGCATGCCCAAAATAACACACCAACCAAGCACCCCTGCAGAGCGTCTTATATCTACACACAAGTGGAAGGTTCTTGTACGAGCTGGGTCTCCCTTTCTTTCTAGCGTTACCTTGGGCATCGCCTCCTTCGGCAGACAGGGCCACGGCACTCTTGCTTCTAGCTAGTGAGGCCTGGGTGGGTGTGAGCAGCCGACTGAGGACACCGCTGTCCACGGGTGCGGCCAACGAGCGGCGAGCTATAGACACGGTGTGCCCAGACAGACACGGAAAACATAGCAGACAAAGGGGAAAAGAAAAACGAGGTTGAGGAATAAACACAAAGAAGGAAGGAGAGAGAAATGACACCAATGTGATTTAAAATGCAAGAATTATCACAAAAACCAAAGAGAAAAGTGATTGTGGTTCAAATGTAAACGGTTGACGGCTGATGCAATCAAGGTGAGACTCTCAATGCTGGAGAGACAAAAAGAATATTAGTGGGATATGGGAAAGGTGATTGGGAGCAGGACCAGGGCTGTGGAAGTGGAAGTGAAAACAAAAAAGGAACATTAAGACAGGAGGACTAAAGGGTAACTTGAAGAGCTTTTTGAGATCCATCAGACGAGTCAAATGACTGCAGTCAGGCTTTTTAAATTTGAGGTATACATCAAATTTAGTATTAAGAAAAGGTCAGCATTTGATTTCAGTCTGGTCTCAACTGCAGTTTTACAGAATGTAGGGAAAACAAATATTTAACAAATTTTATACAGTTTGTACAATGCAAAACTGCTAAAAGGATCAAAAAGCTCTTGCGGTCATGAAATCTATGTTTGTAACCAGAGTTACAAATTCAGTTGGGAAAAACAGAAATATGAAGGAGTAATATATTTTGTAGTTTTTTGTAGTTTTTGAGCCTGTCCCACATTTAGTTTTATATTTCTACATATTTTTTGTGTCGTGTCACTGTCATTCTGTATGTGCTGTAGAAGCTTCTGTCACCAAGACAAATTCCTTGTATGCCTTAACACACCAGACAAGAAAGCTCATTCTGATTCTGATTTTTAAAAACCTAAGCCTGGTTTCACAGACATAGCTTAGAATAAGCCAGGATTAGGCCTTACTCCAATTAGGATATTTAAGTAGATTTTATAAACATGGCTTAGAAAACAAAACAAAAAAAACATTACAGGTGTGCATCTTGAGACAAAACAATGGGCTTGACTTATTTTAAGATATTGCTTTCAGTGCAAGCTGCTTTTAGTAAAGACAGCTCAAACATGCGTTTTAGTCTTATGCCTTGTTTGTGGCTTATTTCTCTTTTAAATGATCCATTAATTTCCTTTTCCCCATGGCCTTGTATTGGAAGTTATGGAGAGAGGAACTTGAGGCTGTGAAGCTTTTGATGATGTGGCTAAGTGAGCTCAGAAATGAGGAAGTGCTTTCAGAATAGAGAAAGCTGGTCTGTCTGTCTACCTCAACAAGTATGCACCGATGGGCAAACTCTAAAATGGTCCATCACAACACAATTCAGTAGGTCATTTAGTTTTCAAGAGTGACTATATAACCAGGAGTTTAAAAATGTCCTGCAAACATGATATCTAGAAAAAAAAATACAGCACAAGAAAAAGCCTTCCTGTAAAACCAGTCAACCTTCTGCAACAGACACACTCACACACACTGAAAACAGACATGGCACCAGGGGGCAAACTCATTGGTTAATGTCATAGGGGAATAAAAACGCATTGTATTAACATACACAAATTCCTCATTCCTGGTGAGTAGGTCAGTTAACGAGAACTCCCTGAGAGAATGAAGCAACAAAGAAAGGGTAAGCTCAAGGCAGCAGCAAGCACAAACCGACTCATGGACAAAAGAGCATCAACATTTGCAGATTGTTATGTTTCTGGATGCATGATGATTTGATGCACGAGTAGAAGGGCGGATCAAGCAAAGAACGTAGAGAGAGTGACGCAGCACGTTTAAAACCACACACACAAATCCTCTGGCTGCAGATCAAACAAGAACAAGATGGACCATAGAAGCGAAAAAGTTTGTGCTCATTTATTAGTAAACGGCGAACAGGCACATGTGAAATTGGGACCGGTTGGGACTTAAGCACCTGATTCATCTGCTGTGGATATCTCTGGTTTGGTGGCGGGCTGTGTTTTAGCCCCCACTCGAGAGAGGGAGGAGCTTCGCTTCTTCGGGATTGGGCCTACAGACAGAGTGGACAGGGCAGCGTTAGAATCAATAAGGAAGCAGGGCCTCTTCTGTCTCAGCTTTCAAGTTCCATTTGCGGTGAATGAGGAAATGCTTATTTGATGAGGACAATGGAGCTAGAATCTGCTTTATAATTGTGGTTCTATTTACAGTAGGTTTCAGTGGATTTGGAGAACAGTGACTGTAAGTATTTAAGAGGTGCCTGCTTACGACTGTCTGTGCAAGGTCCTTGTTGATGCCTGCTTAAATGCATATTTGCATAGAAACTCGATTTTCAGAATTACAAGGTGCAAACTGCTGCGCTAACACCATTTATTTCATTAATAAAATTATGTAGGAGATCCTGATATTGTTCATGGTTCACCCATCATTACTCACCGCTTCAAAAACAAAAAGAAAATGATTAAAAGAAATTACAGATAGTTTCATGGTGCTAATGTTCCTTTCTTGAAGCTTGAAAGCTCCAGCCCACATTCAAACAATTAAATGGGGCAAAAAAAACTGGTAAATTCTTTCTTTTGTATTTCACAAAAGAAAATAATTAAGGTTGAGCACGATATGAAGGTGAGTAAATAAAGACAATTTTAATTTCTGACTAATCCTTTAAAAGAGGAAAAGCACGGGTAGTTTGGCACCTGTCTTTTCCACCTGAGGCTGCTTATGAGCTTCTTTACAGGCCTGAGGACCATTGCTAGGCAACCGGTTCAAAGATGAACTTCTCCGCTTCGCACCTGAGGGACAAAAGAGAGCTCAGCTCCACAATCGAGAACATGGCTTTCACTCAGGAGGGACTAAAGAAAGATTTCAAAGATAAATCACACACATACACACAAATCTAAAATCAACACAAAAGTCATCTAAAACATTCAACTTTTTTGGCACCACACTAAAATGTGCCAGCACAGAGGGAAATGAAGAGGTGACTCCAACACAAACAGTGTCTGTTGTGAAACCGCCTGAGTCATGACTGGCTGCTCCTGTTAGAGGAAAAGGAAACTGTGGGGAGAAACAACATGTCTGCAAGAATCATAAGCTGCTGAGATGGCAAAAACACGTATGGCCCATTCAAACAAACACAATGCTGTATTTACATTTAAATGACATTATAAAATGAAAATCACCAAGTGAACCACAGGGAGAGGCACCTGTGTGAGACATGACTTGTCATTATATCTGCTTAGTACACAAGACCAGCATTAATGAGTATGTACTCATGCTCATGTATCAAAAGGATAAGGAAAAGGCAGGAGAGGGCAGGGAGGACACTTACTTTTATCAGGAGAATTAATGAGGGTGGCAGAGGATGAGGAGAGACGCTTGCTGATGACTGAGTCAGTCTGTTTCAGGTTCGTAGTAGAGGAAGAGCGCTTATCTACAGGGGAGGTATTACGCACATAGACAGAAACAGACAGGGAGTAGAATTAGAGTTACGGGGTTTGCACGTGCTAAGCTATTGTTAATTATTGTAATACAAGCTGGTTCATCTACATTTTAAGGATGGGGTAACACCTGGACAGACAAAATTAGAGTATGCTAATTTAAGAATAGCTATAACTGAAGTCATGTGGTGCCTTACATGTCTGAAACATGCAAATACATAACATTTTAGAATTTATATATATATATATATATATATATATATATATAAAAATAATGGGATAAATTATAAGTATTGTAAAAAAATTTCTAACAGTAGCAAACCTTAAAACTCAGGCATTACACAATGTTAGTAAACATTCAAAGTGTCATTACATCTGTACAAAAAGGGGGAAAATTAGATAAAAATTGAAGCGACATGCATCCCCGGAACCAAGGTAGGTGCTTTGGAGAGAGAGAATACTTTGTTACAATCCCTGGCAATTGAAGAAAATATTTTATTATAAAAAACTGAGTGAGTGAATGGAAAAAACAGCAAGTACAGCCCCAGTCAGATTAGTACACGTATGAGCAAAGAGGATGAGTGGGCAGGTTTTTTTTTGTGTCAAGTCACACCATGGGCAGGCAAACAGTATGAACCACCTTGTGACGTCTGATTCCTGGGTGGCTTGGAGGCTGGAGAAGCAGGGGAGATAACTATAGCAATCTGGGAGGAGCTGGAGCCACTGTCACTCTGTCCTGTGGGAGGGGCAGGGACAGACAGGTCGCTATTGGAAATGGACTCTCTCTCCATGGTGAGAGTGAGAGAAGTGGAAAAAAGCAGCTGACAACATGAGATTTCCATCCCCAAGTAGTGTTGCGCAAAATCACAGATCAACAAACAAACATGACTTGTAAAAGGTAAAGTGTGTAATTTGACCAATGACATATGTGCATTTGAGGCATTATTTTTGCAAATTGGATGTAGCTAATGAAGCAAAATTTGCACACTTTACCTTTAACATCAATTCAGAGGAATAAAGATTGCCACAAGAAGATTTTTTCATAGTTTTAAATCTATGAAAATTCATCTTGTGACAATCTTTATTGAACCCAGAAGCCACTTGGGCAGACTGTGAAACAATCAGTGAACAAAGGCTGTTGAACGTATTATCAGGTGCTTCTGATGTTTTGGTATTTAGGAAAAGCACTCGTACCATTTTTGTTGTCAGAGTCTGAAAGTCCACCCCAGGACCATCTCTTCTGTCTCTGTTCTACTCGCTGGCTGCGCTCCATGGTACGCCTCATCACAGCCTCATAGTGTTCCTACACACACACACACTTTGTTAGACAAATGGAGCCATGACACGTCCTCTCAGCTGTGCTGCAGTGGACCATTGCAAAGGTGTGAGTGTCAGTGCTAAAAACAAAGTCTATGACTCCAGGCTGTTTTGCATGTTGGGTACTGAATAGTGCACACGGCTCCTGCTGTATGACTGCAGGACTAACAAAATCACCTATTTCATTTAATCCATTTAAGAGTGCTAATGATACCATCACACCCACAAATAACAAGCAGGGCATTCAAATCATTGAAATATTAAACCAGTATTAAAGGTGTCCTGTTTAATTAGGCTGGTTTGGGTTCAGACTTGGAATTTAGCATGGCTTTAAAATATTACACTGTGTATAAGATTATACAGCCTTTAGGAAGAGCCTCTTTGTCAATTTAATATAGCAGTAGGAGGTTCATGTATACTACAATTCAAAAGTTTGGATTTTCCATGTTTTTGAAAGTCTCTTATGCTCACATTCAATTGATAAAACAGCAGCATTCAATTGATAAAATACAGTAAAATAGTAATTTTGTTACAATTTAAAATACATTTCTACTTGAATATATTTTAAAATTACATTTAGTTCTGTGATGGCAAAGCTGAATTTTCAGCATCATTACTCCAGTTTCCAGAGTCACATGATCTTTCAGAATTCTTCAGTTATTTTAATTTCGTATGATTTATTATGCATCTGTTGTGATTATTTTCATTTCTTTTCTATGTAAAGCACTTTGCATTACCATTGTGTAGGAAATGTACTAAACTTAAGGTCTTAAGGGTTTGGAACGATATAAGGGCTAAGTAAATGATGACCGGACTATCCCTTAAAATGCATTAAAATGTAAATAGACATGAAACCACATAGCAAGATTGGTTGCATGAACAACTCTCAAGCGCAAGCGTCCCCAGATCATTTATAGCCTATCATACGCCTTGTCACTTGTAGCACTACATACGCTACAAGTAAACAACAGCCAATAATTTAACAAGTTGCATTGCCATGTGACATAAGAACAAAGCCGAACATTAGTGTCGCACCTGCCGGCGATGAGGATTATTAATTAAAAAAAGGACATGGATCAATCAAACAGCCTATCACACAATGCAACATCAGCCTCAGCCAGTGCATTTGGCTAATAAGTCTGCATGATCTGCGCGTCACTTTGTGAATGAGTGCAGCAGTTTCGTCTTCTGAACAAACTCGAATAAGTGTGGCGCTCACTGTGTTTTCAGTATCTGAGTCCCAATATATGAAGGCATGAACACAAAAACTTAATCTCCAGGGGCCTCATGTATCAACACTGCGTACGTACAAAAACACGGCGTACGCCAGCTTTCACGTTCACGGCCAGATGTACTAACAGTGAAATTAACGGAAGAATGTGCGTTCCTCCAAGTAAACTTCATGTCTGGCGTACGTACATTTGCCTTGATTTGTCCGTTGGCGACTCCTAGAGGCAATAAGGTGAAGTGGCAAACATTACTCTACGAATTGTTCTATCACACCACCAGCTGTCAGATATTGCTTAATGATATGTCAAATAATGTATCAATTACAAATTATGTCACACAAGTCTTATTAAAATATTCTATTATGCAATAAAGTAAGAACATAAAGCATGTGCAAACCCGTCTAGCAATGGCAGCGTTGGCTTTACTATAGGAAATAAAAAATAAACTTCATTATTTCGGTCAGTAAAGGTAAAAAAAAAAAAAGTAATATTTTTATTCAGCCAGGACATATTGAATTTGTTTAAAAGTGCCCGTACATGCATTTATAATGTTAAAAACGATTATAAGATTTCTATATGTGTTTGATTTAAGTTTTTATTCATTAAAGAATCCTGAAAATACTATATCACGGTTTCCATGAAAATATGAAGCAGAAGCACAGCTGTTTTCAACACTGATAATAATCATAAATGTTTCTTGATCATCAAATCATCATATTAGAGTGATTTCCGAAGGATCACGTGACACTGAAGACGAGTAATGATGCTGAAAATTCAGCTTTGATCACAGGAATAAATTACACTTTCACATATATTCACATAGAAAACATTTTCAGTGGAATTTCATTTCTTGCAGGTTTCTTTAGCCATTTCCTTGCAGGTTTCTTTTGCCAAATTGGACTATTATCATATTTAAATTAATTTAATTGAGGGAGGAGACTGGGTGGGGCATTGTGCTCGTGCATGTGCGCTCAATTTTACGTTAATTGGGATGTACAAAGAGAATATGCGTGGGATCCTTCGTACGCAGACATTCATACATCTGTTTTTTTTTGTGCGTACGCACATTTACAGCTTTGATCGTACGCTATGTTTTAGTATGAATTCAACGCAAGTCTTTGTACATGAGGCCCCAGAGCTACTTCTAAGAGTGAATACACAAGCCTTTTTCCTTTTCATTTGAGAAAAACTACTGTCAAATACATAAATAAATTTTCACGACAAAGAGTCAAAATAAAAGTCTGGTTTGACTTGAACAAATTATGAACTATATTACTATTGTATACTAAAATTTAATTAAGTATTAACGAGTGAGAGAGAGTGCGAGAGGTACGGGTGAGAGAGAATAATTTTTACGGGTGTGAGACAATCATTTTTTAAGTATTTTAATTTTCTGTGCGTCATTTATTTTGTAAAACTACATAAATGCCATTATCTGTACCGTATCCCAACTGTTATAATAAAACATCAATTATTCAGCATATAAGCAATATTTTGCTTTTTATGTTAAAGACATCGAAAAGGTAGATCAACTAACCATTAATGAATTAATCGATAATTTGCATCCCTAGTAGCTCACTCTGGTAAATAAATATTGATACTGACTGATATGGGAAATAAATAGTCATAATTTAACGGTTTAAGTTTACTTATGACCTAAATTACTGCTTTTATGAAGATACACACAAAGAGGCATTTTGACACATAAGTGTTTATATTTGACCATTCAAGCCCAATAATGCGGTCAGAAGATGTCTGTTCAGTACTCACACGCTTTATGAGCAGCAGTTTAATGTGCGCATCTCTCAGTCAGCATGCACATATACCAAAATGAGTTCTCTTTCCTTACTTCTTTAGCTTCTATGGCAAAATCATTCTAAAATCATTGTTGTAGGTGTCCACTCCAACTGAATAAAATTATTCAATTCTTTAAAAACCCCCACAAAAAATAGGTAATAAACTATATAAGAGACATAGGTAAGAAACAATTTACTTTTTCTTCCTCTAATTTCTGTTTTCTTTTCTCCTCCACTGCAGCTCTCCTTTGTTCCTCCTTCCTGCGCTGCTCTTCAAACTTCTTTTGTCTCTCCTCCATCTGACGCTCCACCTGCAGCCGGGTCTTGCGCTCTCGCTCCAGGAGCTGAGTCTCACGGGCCGCTGAACGGGCCAAACAGGGTGTGTTAACACAATTTGTTAAAATGTAAGAGAGTTAATTATGTTTAACAATGTGCAGGGTTTGGCAATCTTGTTTTTTATTTTTAATCACTGTGCATCACCATGCAAAATAAATGTAGTATATACTGTGTTTTTTCCTTAGATGCTTCCATATCACCATGAATAAATTAAGAGTTTGGTTTCCAAAACGAGATAAACGCCGTTTAAAAAAAAAAAAACTGAGTTACTCCAAAAATCTGTATAGTATCTGGTCGGTATTGAAAAGTCAATGTTTAATTTTACATTAAATGCGATATCCGCCATGTTATTATGTAATGTTTTCTCCCTTTCTTTCCAAACCGCGACAAACGCCAGCCTCCCTTCTCTGTAAAATGCGATACATCCGCTCAACCAATCACAACGCACCATTCCACGCGATGTAAACAGTAACGGCAGTGCTTTAATTACACCCGGCTTCCTAGGTTTTCTAATCTATTTTGTATTTTTTTGATCAACAAACAAACAAACAAAAAAGAATAATTTGGACGACATTGATGAAACTGTGGTGGTTTCTGCGGTGGGTAAGAAATGCAAGGCATTGAAATCGAATAATTTACGTGAAGAGATTAAGAAGATGAGGCACTCGGGAGGAGGAAAAATGCCGGCTGTTGCTTGTTCTCACACGACAACATCAAACTTCTGTCATGCTGACACTTTGACCCCAGGGGATCTTTTGAAAAACTTTCAATTGTTTTATTCAAAGTCAACGAAAACCGAGCAGGACCAAGCCATTTTACAGCTGATCGCCGTCAAAAAAGTTCAGCAGCAACGTCCCAAGACATCAGCGATATGCAGAAGTATAGATCATGCGTAATAAATCATAATTCATGATGATGTGCTCATCTTAGTTACCCTTACTGTAAAGTGTTACCAAATATTTTTTTATTAATACAATGGATTTATAGTATACACAAGACAATCAATACAACAAAGATGTCTGAAATATGAATGTAATTTTCTGTAGTCTAATTCAAGAGGTGTCATGTGCAAATCAGTTTTAAATATTTAAACAGTTTAAAACAGTTTTACAAAACAACAAATTCAATGTATATAAAATTAATTTATTATAAATTTTTTGAATTTATTTTGGTTAATTGCATTTGGAAAAATAAATGGATTAGATTTTGTGGGGGAAAAAAAGATGTAATTTTTTATTGTTATTATAACCTACAAATTCTATGTGAAAATTTGAAACAGAAAATAGTGGGTTGGTTTCATCTTCCCACTTTCTTGGTAAAGAAAACACAGTTTTACTCAAATTCATCAAAATGGATTTATTGCGTTTTGGAACCAAACTCTTCAAATAATGCAAATGATCACCTCACTGTTTGAAAAAATCACTTGCACAGTGTTTCGTGTTGTCTTTGTGTTATATGTGCCAATGGTGGCATGCACGTCTAAGCTTGCCAACACCCGTTGTGTGAAATATTTTGCTTTGTCACCATGTTGCTTTTCCTGCTCTTCTCTCCTCTCTCTGGCCACTCGAAGTTTGTCGTCTATCCTCAGAGCTGCCCCATCAATGACTGAAAAAACATAACAGAACACAACGTCACACAACTAGTGTGTCAAGTGAAATCTGAACACTTCCTGGGCCATGAAAAGCTCTCGGCAGATTGCACTAGTATCCGATGTGCAGATAATCCACTGGCATGATCTGACATGAGGCTCAGGTTACAGATTCAGCTATGAGCTCACCACACCTGATATAGTATTGACACAGAGACATGGGCGTGTGTGAGGACATGCTACAGTGGTGGAATGGCCTTAATAGAGTCATGTGACAACACATTGAAGTCACAAATCAAGAGTGTAAAAAAAACTCAACAAAAAAAAAGCTCTAACACGAATAAAGATTGCTTGAGTGGAAACCTATTGTGTTTATTGCTACAAAAACATGTATGCAAGAAAGGCAGAAAATTAATAAAGATGCTATAATTTCAAGTTAATGAAAAATACTTTATTTTACTAATTAAATACTAAGTAATACTTAAACTTTCAGTGTCATCAGGACAAGTAATACTCTGGGTCTGCAGAAAACAAACCCTTGTGGATCCCTGCAGTGACCGATAGAGATCTGAGATCATGTTTGTTACCTGGCTTAGTCTGGCTCTTTGTTGTGATGGCTGGGGCTGCTGGTGTTGGGCTGTTCCCTGCCTGGCTGCGCCGTTCCTCTGCTTGCGCCTGCGCAGCTGCAGCTGGAAATGCAAAGAGACAAAATGCATTTTTGGTCAATCAAAAAAATGGATTGAATGAAATGAAGGGAATTTTAGATTCTGTGAAAATGATTTTAACTTCCATCAGATGGCTTGAGATGTTATTTTATTGTTGGGGCTGGGCAAGTTATGCATTAACGCATTTATTAAATTTAACAATTTTTTTTAATCGAACGTTGACGCAGTTTTTTTTTTTGAAAGTCGGTTGTTCACTGCCTTACTACACATAGGCCTACAGGCAAACCATGGATAACAGGAGGGATGGGAAGTTGGTCAGCCAGCAAATAACCCACCAAAACAAGCAGTGGAGAGGCTTTGGCAGGTTCTCTCAGGTGAACAGAAAGGGAGACAGTGCTCAGCGCTGAGTGAATGACAGGATCTATGTATAGTAACCATGGCAATGGCCTTTTTAACTTAAATTAAAATTACACATAACTTTACCTGATAGGCCTGCGTTTAGTTTAGCGGGGATGCTCTGCCATGTGAATTCCCTTCTGTTGATGTCCTGATAACTATTCTGGAAACTCACAAACAGTGAGCCGAGGATCAGTCTATCTTCCAATAATTTGAGCTGCGCGTCCTGTACAAAAAGTTATAGACAATTCAAATTCAGCAACGGGCGTGTGCGTGAGGCGAGCATGACCACAACAGTTTTACAGGAACGCACCCGCTTGTCTCTGCACCTTGTGCTCGACCACTTCACCTTAAGCCTAGTTCACACTACGTGATTTTAAGCCCGATTTAAGCCCGATTTGCAAATCGTTGAGTCGCCGACAAGTCAGGGTGTTATCGCGTGCAAATCGCGGGCGATTAGCGGACGATTAACGCTCGCCAATCCGTTAGTGTGAAAGAGCCAACAACGCATCAAAGACAGCTCGCAGACAGCTCGCAGACAGGTCACCGAGCTCAGAAAAATATCTAGCCTGCTAGATATCTCGAGCAGTCGCGCGACTCAATCTCAGTGATGTCATGAGTACAGCCAATCATAGCAACGCATGGGTGAGGACACCAGGTAAATCTTACTTTTTCTTTTCTTTTTTGCATTTTTTTTCTCAGAGCAGATCGTCGAGCAAACAGTGTGCAGCACTAGTTTCTGTCTACGTCCATATTCGCGTGTTGTGTTCTTCTCTGCAGTTTCGCGTCATTTCTGGTTCGTTTTATTGCGTGGTTTTTCGTGTGACAAAACATGGTTTCTAGACCAGATAGAATCGTGTTGTTGTCAACTCGTTATTTGTTTGATTATTTTCAGGATTTAGACCGTACTATAGTACGAAACAGCTCTCATTGAGTCACAAATGATATGCTCTTATCATCCGATCGTGGTTGTATCTCTATGTAGTGCGTTGTTAACTCGTGTAGTGAGTCACCTCCTGTTGTGGATCAATCACGTTGTGTTGTGTGGTGTGAACAGGTAAACAACTTGAACACTCATGATTTCACTGAGAGCAAGTCATGTAGTGTGAACTGCACAGTTCAGCCTGACATTTTAAAATCATGTAGTGTGAACTAGGCTTTACTCGATACCTCTACGCTATAGACTACGCGTTGGTTTTCATTTAAACTTCTGCGTCACTGACGCGGAATTACACATGCAGCGGGAGCATTTGAAACCTGGGGAACGGTTCTAGCAATCACAGTGCTTGCAGTCGGCTACAATTGACGCATTGTTACATTTTTGGAGAGATGCACGTCAGGGTACGCCGAAGGGTACGCGTGCTACAAACAGCCTACTACGTAGCTATGGCGTGAGTTTGACGCAGAAGTATAAACTGGGCTTTACCTATGTTTAATGTAATCTTAGTGTACGTGGGAAACCATGGCATAACCAAACCTAAGCTACTATCAGAGAAGTAACGTTGGTCGACTTATATCTATAATAGTGGTCATGACTACATAGACCGTTTCTGCTGCTCCCTGATAAAAGATACCTGTTGAGAAAAACAAGAAAACTGGACTCATTTTAACAAGCTACATAAAAGGTAATGCACTGGCAGTGGCAAATAGCTTTGTTTTAGTATTTGATTTGATTACATTAATGTTTAAGTTTATGAATTACTACTGTGTAAAGGGAATACTGCTGGTATAAAGCATCTGATTTGTTTCAAGTTTTTGCAAACCACATGTGCACTTTTGTGTATATAACAGTACATTTAAATCAAAAGTGCACAATACACTACTTTAGAATTCATTATTAAATTTTGCGTGTAACAATGCGATTCATCACAAGAAAGTCATGCGATTAATCGCGATTACAAATTAAACAATGCCCATCACTAGTTATTGTACAATGAGGCAAAATGTACAGTCAGGTATACAGTGTTTGAGTCAAAGTAACAGAAAATACTACTATCTCTGCTAAACACAAAACACCTTTTAAATGCTCATCAGCAGTCTTGCAGCAGGCAGGAGAGGAAGGAGATGATAAGATAAGGGGCGGATAGGATAAATAAGATATGGAAAAATCAAAGTCTGTGTGCCTTTGTAACAGTTCTCTCCCTTCACAGAGTGTCAGAGAGAGAGAAAAAGAGGGTGTTTGTTAAGCTGGCAGTGAAAGAGCATGTGATGTCTGTATGGTGAAAATCAAGATGCTACTGATAGACAGTGAGCCAAAGAAAGGGCACCATTGCGCACATTTAACTGACTGAGAATAAACCATCTCTTTAGTTCCAAATCCTGCTTAAGCTCACCGGTTTATGCTTATGTGTTTTGATTTGTTGTTGATCATAATGTCCGCTGTGCATAAAAAGCATTTGACCAAGTGTTTTTATCTTGCGTAAATGTTTGCGCTCATTGCATATTTACAATGGGGTAATATTGTTGTTAAGAATTTACACAACACAAGGCTTGACTTAAATTGTTTAATTAAATTGAAAAAAGTAGCACAAATAAATACAATAGAACAAAGATACAAATAAAGAGAAAAGTTTCTGAATAGGTCTAACACTAGTATTCAAATACAGAAACTGAATAAAGTAATCAAATGGAAAATTAAACTGGGTAGTATTTTAGTCCTGAATAAATGAAATACATAGGCTATCAATCCTGATGCATTTTACTTAAAGCTCACTTTTGTTGTTTTGACGACAAAATTAATGACCGACACATATGACTGCCGTCACTTTAAGAGCTAGTAAGTGCACGGATCCTGTGTTTATTATACTGAAATTTGAGCCCTGATATTATAGTAAAAATTATCTCAATTATTGTTTATTTCAATCATTACTATTATGACACAATTGCAATTGGCTAGTTGTTCAGACAGCCAACCAACAAGAAAAAGTGGAGTTTTGCACAGCCCTAGATTGAAATAGATTGAGCTATGATACTGCATATAGTGCCAGGCTGGGTAATTCCTGCTGAAGTGAAAGTACCATGACACACCTGCAGTAAATGCTTTATTAAAGGACATGCTTACATTTTAAGCAAGCTGTTTTGAAATAAATTTAGTAGTTCTGTTTTACTTTTTTCACTGTCTTAATGTCTCATCTAAAGCTCAGGATGACCTACAAGGAAGAGGGATGAATAGAGCACTCAGGCCATAGTCCGTCAGACTAATTGAATATGCAAACACCATCTGAGTCATACTCTGAACCTCACACTGTGGGCTTTGCGACACGCGGCATGCAAATGAACACCGGCCCAACAATGGACTAAACACAATGGAGAACATTATCTAGGTCTTGCACATACATTCATGATGTAAAGACAACGAATGCAAGCCCATGCTGACCTCAAACTGTTCCTTAGAGCGACTCCAATTAGTCTGCATGTTATTTATGGGTCACTTAACAATAGGTTTCAAAACATTAGACAAACGTACATATGTGGATTGCTAAACAGCTGTTGCTAAGACTTTATATTTACCTTACAGAGGAAATTAGACTGGTATCATTGAGCGCACAGCAAACGGTTGCTTTGGTGGCTGAGTGCCTACATGTTTAAATTTGTTTGCATATCCTGAAATCTCACAGCATGGTCAAAAATGATTTTTTTTTTTTTTGAGCAAACAGTCACAAATTAAAATGGTTATTTAAGCATGCAAAAACAACAAGCATTTAGTCATAATCTGGACCAGAATTAACCACAATGCATTGATGTGATTAAGATACTCAATTTAGTGTCAAAACAAAGTTGTCACATCAACGATCAGATTGCCTTATATCACTGCCACAAACACAGACGCAAATCGGCATTGTTCTCAA